TTTTTGATGCAAAAACGCATGATCGCACCGGCTCGCCTGGTGCGTTCCAGCCTTTGTTTTTTATTACTTTATCTTTTTTTACTTTTTATCATTTTTCACAGATTTTATTATTTTTCTGTTGTTTTTCCATTTTTTTTTTTTTGTTCATTCCTATATCTTTTTCCATCCTCTTCATTTTATAATCTTCTCTTCAATTTTTTTTTTAATTGCGCACCCAATAATTTTTCACGTAGTTAGTTTAAGAAATTTGTACAAAAATTAATACAGTACAATCTCATGCCAAAGCTATCATACTAATGAAGTCTAGTTGTGGTGCTACAAAAGAATGTATGCGACTTATTGGACTGAAATATTTCATTACAAACAATAAGCTAATCAATTTCACTCAGACCTTACTTTTCTCCTTTTCCGCTCCCATAACCAATTGTAAATTAGCAAATTTTGGAGCATATACTGAAAATCAGTTTATACTCAATTTGCTTTTCCTGTGCTTTTTAGCATTAAGCTTTACAAATTTTGCATGGCTTTGATATACTAGTAGCAGCGATCAGCCTGGACTCGCCGATGTTCCTAATGACAGATGGATGATATTTCTGGCAGAAGCATGGTAGAAAAGCTACTCCTAGCACATATTCACAATGAACTTACTTCAAAGAACTGCACCAGCAGAGTCCAGTCGGCTAGAAGATAGATTGGTTGTAAGCATACGGCAAGTTTATGCTTTTTTGGTTCATGCGATAATACACGTGCATCCTGAAGAATCACTGGTACTTGCAACCACGTCCGATCCGTCCGCGACAAAAACGCTTGAGGCGTTGTACTGTAATTCTGTGACAGCAGCTTTTCCATCGCATCACTTTTTACAGTCAGTGCAAAGAAACCAACAAAATCGCAGCTGCAAAATGATAACTTTTATGCAGGAGTGATACTTGGTACGCATCCATAAATTTGTCTCTTTTCAAAGTAAAATCGTCAAATTTTGAAAAGTCAAATATAAAATGACCATCAAATTAGAACCTCTTTTCTCTGAAATGCAGTCATACCCCAAGTGTAACAAGAACGTTATTTGGTGCATTTCTATCAAAGGAAATTCGTAAAATTTAAAAACTTCACACAGAGTCGTCACTAAATTGTCGGTATGAAACTACAATGCACTTAGTCACTGAGTCCAAACTTTTCTGCCTCAGTGCTGCACCTGCTGTACACACACACGCAGACATACACACTCACACACATACACACATGTACACACTCACACACCACCGCCTTCAGAAGTTTTTCTCAGTGCGGGGCATTGACGAACAACGTACATTATAAATCGTAAAAGAAGCAGAATCTCTTGCATATCGGATTTTGTTTCTGTGTATATGCCACTACTTATGGTAAAAAATCTTGCCACTCAGATGAAAGAGCAGAATGACAAGCAAAAACTTACTTTGCTGCTAGTAACCATGGACATTCAATTATTGGACTTTGCTGTAGCTGCACAGTCAGAAAACTGCCTGTATTCGTTTGTAAGCGCAACTGAAGAGGCACTGAAATCTTACATTTCCGGATCATCGTTATTTTTATCTCGGAATGCGATATTACATAAGCTGCCATTACATATATCTGAAATCTTCTGCGTTATGGAAAAGAGCAACTCCCTTCTTCAGTTCATCTAACAACAGCTCTTCTATTTCCCTCTGCAGCCATGACCATCGGTGAAAATCCCGGATAAAAATCCAAACTGACCTGGCTGCTATGAATTATTCACATGCAAAA